ATCAGAGGTCAGAGATCAGAGGTCAGAGGCCTGAGATCAGAGGTCAGGGGCCTGAGATCAGAGGCCAGAGGACTGAGGTCAGAGGCCTGAGATCAGAGGCCTGAGATCAGAGATCAGAGGCCTGAGATCAGAGATCAGAGGCCTGAGATCAGAGGTCAGAGGACTGAGGTCAGAGGACTGAGATCAGAGGTCAGAGGACTGAGATCAGAGGTCAGAGGACTGAGGTCAGAGGCCTGAGATCAGAGGTCAGAGGACTGAGGTCAGAGGACTGAGGTCAGAGGCCTGAGATCAGAGGTCAGAGGCCTGAGATCAGAGGTCAGAGGACTGAGGTCAGAGGCCTGAGATCAGAGGTCAGAGGACTGAGAACAGAGGACTGAGGTCAGCAACTTGAGATCAGAGGCCTGAGGTCAGAGGCCTGAGGTCAGAGGCCTGAGATCAGAGGTCAGAGGACTGAGGTCAGAGGTCAGAGGACTGAGGTCAGCAACTTGAGATCAGAAGCCAGAGGTCAGTGTACACGCACCCAAGATTCCAATGAATCTTGAGCTTCTAAACAGGAAGTGAAAGCTCTTTCTTACTCGTCATATCTTCATAAAACCTTGGAGAACCATCAAACCATTACTGAGATAGAGGGATGAGAACGAGGCAGAGAACAGAGGGATGAGAACGAGGCAGAGAACGACTGAAAGCGTGTGAAAACATGAATATTGAGTGTTGTTTCGGGGCCAGAGCGCTGACGGCTGCATGACAGAACAGCTGATATTTACTGAGAAAAAACACGGCAGGAATCCATTTGTGTCAATCGAACAAACAGCAAACAGCCTGAAGACCGACACTCCGCTGGCACCCGAACGCACCGTGGCTGCAGACCAAAAACCTAAAACACACACACACACACACACACACACACCAGATGGTGTTTCTGGATGCTGGTGCAGGTTTTTCCGGTGTAAAAGCACAAACACATCAGCGTCTCTACAGAGGAAACACCTGATCTCATCTGACTGAAGGCGCTGCATTCACCGTGCTCTCTGATTGGCTCCTCCCTCTCACACCTGACCAATCAGAACAGGAGATGGAACATTACCTGCAGCCAGTCCCTGCAGGTGTTCACTCAAGACACAATAATACGTCAGAGGTGCGAGCACGGTGCCAGAGCAGGCAGGAAGGATCCGTGGTTTATTTCAACAATAAATAAATAAACTGAAACGTTTCAGACACCAGGAATCTGAAAACTAAACTAAAATATAAAAATATAAAACATTCAGCCTGAATCATGTAAAGTTCAAAACATTTTATTAATTTAAAGCCACAGGTGGGAAGATATGTTTCAAAACTAGAGAAGAGTGGGTTTCAACACTTTAGTTACTGGTTTTATAATCTTAACGTTTCAACTTAAAAGTCCAACTACGGAGCACGATGAAACTTCTTGAGCCGACTGGACCCGAGAACCAGAATTCAGTTCTGGACTGAACGGGTTCTGTGGCACTTGGGACACGGTCCAGGTGGTTCAGGTGATAAACCTGTCCCATTGTTACATCTAACCAACCACTTAAACCTCACGACAGCATGGCTGACAGGAAGTGAGGAGCTCGTTTTCTGACCCGGTGCAAGGTTCTGACCCATTTCTACTCAGAGAGACCGCCTCACGACCCAGAAGAACTTCCATCTCAGTGCACTCCTACACTAACAACTTTAGAACAGCCTTGAAACTTGTGGAGGATCAGAAGTGTTGGCTCGGCCCGGGTCCCCCTGCAGCCGCCTCAGGCTGAGCTTCTCCTCACTAAGTCCTGCAGCACTGCAACGGATATTAGAGCCCAAATCCTTGGATCTGGAGATGAAGACGCAGAGTTCTTCTCAGGATCAGAGCCGACCCAGAAGAAAAGATCTGCCAAATAAACTATGAAGGTTTATCCAGAAGTTAAAGAATGAAATGTTCTGTTCAACAAACAGCTGTTACACAATGTTCAAAAGGTCTGAGGAGAACCGGAGTCCACGAACATTTAATGTTCCAAACATCTGAGGAGAACCGGAGTCCACGAACATTTAATGTTCTGAAGGTCTGAGGAGAACCAAGTCCACGAACATTTAATGTTCAAAAGGTCTGAGGAGAACCGGAATCGACAAACGTTGAATGTTCCAAACATCTGAGGAGAACCGAGTCCACGAACATTTAATGTTCTGATGGTCTGA